TTGCAACCTCATACTAGTCTAGCACCAAGAGCAGGCAGCAGTTAAAGGTTGCATGACCCTTTCTGGTCTCAAACTTACTCCTCTATTTAACACTGCGGACCTTTTTCTGTAATTTAACCCTGAGTAACAGTTTATTTCCAGTAACACAATAATTTATCTCCTGCTGCAATTCCTGCTTGCTCTCTTGGTGCTCCTGTGCCTGGTCACCCCGCTGAGCATTTTCCCACCACTGGTGCTAGAGTCAGGCCACTTCTTTAGACAAGCAGACTGTCTTGTTGAGCAACGCCACGAGCAGGTGAGAAGCTCTTTTCCCTCTTGAGTGTTAGACATGGAGCCAAACTTGCACGGCAGCATCCACCTCCCTCACAAGCACCTGCCTCCTCTTCCCATTAGCCCTGCCAGAGAAATGCCACAGCCTCTCCAAGAGGCTCTGGTGTCCCCTCGGCCTTCGCTGAGCTGCTCCTACAGGTCTCGGTGCTTCCCTTGAGCCATAAATCACAAGAGGGGGTCGGGGATCCCAAGCTAAATTCATCCTTGAGTATTATCCACACCGCGCTGAGCAAGTGCTTCTCCTCTGTGTGCTGGGGGAGAAACTAAAGGTAGTCAGAGAGGACGTTTCTTTGATGCAAACATGTTTGTTTTAAGGCCCCGTTTCCTGGAACGCCATACTAACCGCATCTTACCAAACTACTTTGCTCTTCCTAGCAGCCCAAGCCTTTCTCCAAAGGCTGCTCAAAAGCTGCTGCCTTTATCTATCACCTTAGCATCAGGCCATTCCAGGTAACAACTAAGCAGCCCTCTTCTTGGTTTGGCTTGCCAGCTACTGATTTGCCCAGTAATGTGTAGAGGGCCAAATAAACTCTTCCAAGGAATTTTTTATTCTCTCAAGTTACAGAGATTTTGCGTTATTAGAATCTGTTGTCTCCCTGATGGGCCTCTGTGAGCTACAGGAAAACAGAAAACTTCCCAATATGCAGTCCAGAAGCCTCTGGCCAGCCAGTTTCCTATCCAGGAGAGTGACTTTTATCCTAGAGACACTCGATTTCCTTCTCTTAATGAAGCTGTAGTCCTTGCCACTGCTTCACCTCCATCATGAACTTCTAGTCTGATTGAGGCTTTACTGCTCACAAACAAGAGAAATCTGATCCATGGTGTTAGGTCTCCTTCTGGGACCATGTTGACTTTTTTAGACAGGGCTCAATTTCAACTGTGTTAATGACTTTTTTCTCCCCAAAAGATTCACCTCTGTTTGCTACAGGCTATTTTCCCAGTAGCCTCTAGCTGCTGCCTTTGAGAATCTTCTAGCTTTTGTTTCTGGTCCTTTAATTTTTAAATTCCTTTTCATATTTCTTATTCCTTCAAGAACAGTCATCATCATTGTTTTTTCTTTGTGATTTTGCAAAAACAAGTGTTTACAGTCACTCTCCCTAGAAACTAAAGAACACGCACCTGACAGCTCTGCCATCCTTTCTGACAACACAGCCTTCTCACAGGTTGAGAAGGAAGAAATTAGAAGAAGAAATTGCTGATGGAGTTAGACTTGCCTTTTGCAGAAAACCTGCAGTATTTTTTGTAGGACGGGGACCCAAATTCCTGCAGCGCCCTAGAACCAAAGTGCAGGACCCAGTTCCTTTGCTCACAGCCTCAACCCGTTCAGCCCCCCAGGAGCTCTCCCCTGCACACACAGGGTGCACAGGGCAGGACCGGCTCTGCTTGGCCTCCACGTAGTCGTCCTGTGGAAAGCCTGGTTGTGGGGGAGCTCTGTGCCTTGCGGGTTCGGTTGTGCCACCCGTGGAACGTGGCGTTTGCACTCTTAAAAAAATGGGTTAAATGGGCAGCGGACAAAATAACATTAGCAATACCGTCAATAGTTTTCAGAAGCTACAGTCCCATTTCATCCCCTTAAATTAATTTAATCCACTGTATTCATTTCACAAGGCTGCGTGTCAATATTGATTACAAGGCGAAAGTTCAATCAAGCGATACCTTTATGTCATGAATAAAATGAAAATTGGGTCAGAATAAGCTTTGGGATATTCCTTTCCTTCTCCAGCTGTTGCTGGTATTTTAAGTAATTTCCCGTCTCCCTTTAAAAACTGAGACTTCCAGGATATATCAATAGAAGATGGAAGGAAAAGGGCAGAAGGGGAGAGGAAGAGAGACTTTCTACAAGCTAGGTTTAGAAGAAGGCTTGTTTCAGTCTCATTCTTACCACTTTACTAAAAATGAGTATACAATTCATGCCTAGCTTTTTGGTAGGTAATTACAGTAGTAGAGGCACTCCGGTGTCACATGGACAGTGTAGGAGCCTCAGGAGAGCAGAGCTCTGAAAAATGGCAGGAGAGGACATGATAAATACGGGATCTTCAGCAGGGGATACGACAGGTTGCCCTGAAAACAAACCTGCTGCCTCCAGGAGGCTTGAGTTACATCCCCCGGAGGTCCCTGCGGCCACGCAGGACCACGGTCACATGCTTGAAACGCTGTAATATCACCCCCTGAAACATTTCCTCCAGAAATGATGCTTCAGCACCAGGAAAACTGACTCTGTGGTGCTGACACCACATTTTAAAACCTTCCAGGAAGAGTGATGCAGTGGTGCTTGAGGCTGGTGGGACTAAATGATAGAGAAAGAGAAAATGATTCAGATGATTGTTATTCTTTACCCAACTACTGTATCATTAAAAAAAAATCCCCTTGCAGGTTGTTTATACTTAGTAGTTTTTGCTCTATGACCTGCTAAACTTGTCATTTGTGACCTGTTGCTATGGAAAGATGTGTGAGGACAGACATAAAACTACCGCATATCTGGAAAATAACCAGATGTGTTTTTGCAGCCATAGGGAAGACAAGTCATTGATAATAACATCCTTGCTGTGAATGTGATTAGAGTTTGCAAGTACAGTGCTAAACCTGTTCTTTAAATGTGAAATTAAATCCTGGTGCCAGACATAAATAATAAACTAAGCTGACAGCCACGGAAGAGAACATTTGCGAAACCATTAAAATCACCAAGAACATAAATGGAATTGACTCAGCCTCTGCACCCAAAGTGCGATTTCTACCACAAAATAGATAATTTTTCTTTATCCTTTGGAGGTGTTTTGTCAAATGCAGATGCAATTATATCACTAAAGAATTTTATTTTATTATGTGATTTTTTTCATACAAAACAAAGACTCTCTCTACCGCATTAGCAAACAGCATTTGATATGGGGTTACATAACAGCTCTCCAGACTAAGACTCTTAATCCAGCCCTGTGGTTGTGGCAATAGGCTGAATCATCCAGTAGATGGTATTTTCCCACATCCCATCAAGGACACGTTTGCAAAGCACTTACAACGAAAGCCCTGCTCAACGCATGGGGCGGTGGGCAGGTCATGTGGGGCTCGGCTGTGTGGGGCATCACCCAGATGGGAGCCCCAGCGATGACGGGTTCAACTGGCTCCACCTCAGGGCCCCGTCGCTTTCTGCCTTGGGCACACCTAAGGCCTCAAGTAGTTTCTCCTAACACCTCGTTAGCCAAAAAATGTTTGTTGAGGCACAAACACACCCTTGCACCCCAAAGCTGTGGTGGGGACAACCACCCATGCAGCTCTCCTTCCTACTCGCCTCTTCTACTGCCTCGTCTACTCTTCCAAGATGCAAGAACTTTCCCCTCACAGGAGGAAGGACATATTTACTTGACTGTTATTTTTTAAGAGAGCAGTTTAAATGACTTCTCTAGAAAACAAGGATGCTCCAGAAGAGAAAAGCACTGCAAGAGAAAGCCCAGGCTCTGTAAATGATGGAGATGTTAACTTCTTCATTTGGCTGGAGTCTACTTGCTTCAAATAACTGTAAAACTGCTCAAAGTAATTTTCAGGTCAAATAGATTTGGTGCAGAAACTCTATCAACTCATACAAGCTAGCCTGCTGATTATTGTTCCCTCCTAAGTACCTTATATGAAATCCATCTGGCTCTGTGGTTGCCACAGAGATTTTAGGGAGAGAGAGAAAGAGACAAGGAGTGTATGTCTTTAAACCCATACTGTAGACTAATTTTATGAAGTCTTAAAATTCGAAGCCTTTTGATCTCTCCCTTAATATTAGAAACACAGAGAGGATCAGAAGGTGTAGCAGACCTCGACCTACACCGTTCACTTGAGCCTTCTCAAATTTGACCCTGAAGGAGCCTAGGCTTTCAGTTAGTAGCATCTCTCCTGACCGACAAAGAAAGGCAGACAGAAGGTGGGTGGAGTAATTTGCCATAAAATGATGGATGTTCACCCAAGAGAGTGGGAGTTCTTGTCAACTCTCCCCTTCCTTGCCACAAAACGCGATCAGGGGAACATCCTTCTGCTCAAGCCAGAAAAATCTATCGAGCGGGATTTCCAGGGCCCCGACTCAGCTGCCAATTAATGCGTGTTGCCCTCTCCTAGCAGGGATTTTCCATGTAGTAGAAAGCCTCTTGTTTGCTATGTCAGTCATCTGAGTATTTGCTAGTGTCGTAGCCAGAGCGCATGATGTTTATTCTGCTAACATCCAGCCGGGAGTCCGGCAGCGCTCATTGAGGTCAGAGCTTTATTTATAGAAGCACATATACATTGATACTCGTTTTCTTTCCTTTACTGTAATCTACCTAAGCTCCTCCAAAATAGAAAGAAACATGCAGACGTGTAAGTAACATAGTAATTGGGCCAGATCCTCCCATGGCACTAGCTAGCACAGCACCACAGAAGCCCACAGTGAAAATAAAGCATTTCAGTGCAGCTGAAGATGTCGTCTATTATTTCTAACAGGGAAGGGGAGATATTTAAAATCAGAAATAATAAAGCAAAAAGCAAAACTAGTCATGCAACAAAACATCTCATAGCATGTGCCAGCACAGGTCTGCAATGCAAAATTCCTCTGCTAAGGTTGGTAACGGAGCTGTTTTTTTCTCTCGTGTTCCCGTTCACTGTCAAGCGCGGAGGAGACGTCCAGCCGCAGAAAAGCAACAAGACTTCACGGCATTTACCTGCTGAGACGGAGAAGACGCTGCCGGCGCGCGGCGCCTGGGCCAGAGCGAGGCAGAAGAGGAGCTGCAGGCAGAGCCCGCGGGCGGCAGGGCTGGGGGCCGGCATGCTGCTGCGCTCCCGGCACCGGCGCGCGCTGCGCCGCTCTGCTCCTCCTTGCCGCCCGCTGCGTGCGTGTGCGCGGCTCTCCCGCCGTGCCTTTAGCGGGGAAGAATGCCAACCATTTCCCATTAAATCTTCTCCTTGCGCTGGACGCGGTTATATTTAACTCCCGCCCCGGATCGCTTGCCCCCGTCGCGGGGCTCGGCGTCTCCAGCGGCAGCGCGGGGGGATTCTGGTTCTGGGCACACGAGCAACGCGGCGCTCGCGGTCGGAGTAACCAAGAGCAGCACAGGGAGAAATTAGCAACCGGAGTACGAGCAGCATGCCTCGGTACAGGCAGCCAGGCACTCACGTCGGGATGGATAAAACTCCCCATTGATCATCTTCTACAGGTCCCTAATGGCCCTAATGAGCGAGATGAGCAGGGACCAAACGTCTGCCTGCACCCAAGAGCACTTGGCGTTCACTTGTGTAGGGCAGCTCAGCCCAAGGGGTGCCCTGTGGCTCCACGAACCCCACAACCAATTTATTGTATTATACTGTATAAAGCAGCGTTTAGCTGCAGACAAGAGCAGTGCGCGGAGCACCAGGCATCGTACGAACACAACGAGCTCATGGAGAGCGTGGGGCAAGCGGGTGACACTGTGGGTTTGACAGCAGCCCTGTCAAGGCTCTGGTTTTCTGCCAAGCAATGTGGGCCTCTGTTGCCCACCCAAAGCGTGGGGCTTCTTGACGGAGTCCAATAACAAGGCTCTGTCAATAATATTCTGTCATCAGAAAAAACTAGTACGGGTCTGACAAGCTGCTCTTGGAATCTGGTAGTGGTTTCCATCGGAGGATAAAGGTACTCTTTTGGTGTGAAAACCATAATTACTCCCTCCCATACAGATGGAGATGGGTTTCTTTGCCCGATACTTATTCTTCCACCCAAGACAAGCAAGGAAACCTTTTGGTATTTTTTCATTTGATAGAAGCATTCCCAACAACATGACCCTGCTCATCTTAACTCCTACTGAGCGTTTTAACAAGGGCCTTTACAGTTTGTTTCAGGGATCAATTGTGCTTTTGAAAACTCTGTTTTGAAGTGATACCGTAACAGCTAGGAAAATTCAAAAGTCAACTAGTTTTCATGCAAGGAAAAAAGAAAAAAAAGCTCAGTTCACCTGTTCTAGTAGCTGTTGCCTGACCATTTGAGATCTATACTCTCAGAAGAAAAGGATGGTATCCCCTCCTGATGAATCCTACCAGAAAACAGAATTTAAGAACCTGTATTTTCCATAGAAGAATTAATGGAATTGTATTCCAAAAAAGGCTTCTTCCTAGTCTTATCTATTTTTGGTTGACAAGTCCCTCATTTACAAGTCAGGGTAAAATTAATATACTTAAGACATAAGAAATCTCAAGGTCCTATATGAACACAATTTTAATTAAAAAGATGACCAAGATTTTCTAGTTCAAAAGACTGAAATCTCTTCTGCTGAGTGGGGCAAAGGCAAAACAGCAACTCAGTGTTAATGCAATAATTTAATAACAAATTATGTCCGTAAAGTAGTACAGAATTCTGCTCCTTCAATTAGTGTAGGAGATGGAAAAGATTCCTTATAATTATGTTTTCCTTGCAGAAATTGTTAGTCATTTAGCAACTGTTTTTCACAACAAAAATACCTGTTGTTGTTTGCATGCATTTATCGACTGTGCTTAGCATCTAGATTTAGTAGTTCGACATCACAGCTAGCACTACTTTGGAAGAAGGTGTTTTCTACACGTACAAATGTGGCTCCCGAGGTAGAAAAGATGAAGTGGAAAATAAATGCAGAAAAACAAAAACTGGTTTATTTTTCTTGTGTATTTAGAATTAATTCTGGAGTCTGCTTAGGAAAAGACTCACTAATTTTGTGATGAACTAAACCCGACCACATGAGACTGGAATGTATTTCGCAGCTTCTCCCATGCTGGTCACTCCACGGGGGATCAGGTCATGGTGCAGTCGAGCAGTTTGACACGACTGGTGCTCATTGGTCTTCACCAAACCCTGTGGCTGACACATCCTCTAGGCATGTTTCAAAGGGTCCATCCATGCATTTTTTCCCCCATAAATAAAATGGAACAAACTGGAGTGGAAAAGGGCTACGAACATGATTATGAATTTTGGGTAATGCCAACTGATTTCCATCAGAACTAATCCCACTGTGACCCTTTGACGTTGGAAGGCACAGCAAAACAAATCGATTAAAAGACAATAATTCAGCTACTGACCTTCATAACATTATTCCAGACGTGAAGAAAACCGATGCTTCCAGGAGCACCCTACAGGGCACCTTCTGTGAAGCCTCTTGGGCAGGAGTCCTGGGGACCTGTTGAGCGTGTTGATCAACTGTGCAGGACATCTGATGGCTCCCAAAGATGTATAGGTGCAGGAGGGGTACTTGGTGCATACAGCACACATCTGGGATATTCTTGTTGTGCTGGACTTACCGCAAAGGAGAAGACCATCATACGGGACACGTGCGGTGTATTGATATGGATATGGTATTGATATGGATATGGATATGGATATGATATCTTGGATATGACGTAGCCGTAATCCATGTCTGCACAGAACCAAGGATGCCTCCAGAACTGATAGATACATGAAAATCCTGGGCAAACACAAAAAATCCCAGAATTGTTCATAGAAAAAAAGTTCCAATCATAAAAATGAGGGTGTCCATGGAAGTCCATGTGTACAAATAACTTTGAGGAAGGGACCAGTGGCCAGCTGAGACCTACAGTTACTGCTAGTGTATAAGTGAATAAATAGCCATTAGCTTCCTGGGAGGGTGATTCACAGACAGCTATAACCCTGTCTGCTCTTGATATTTACATCTAGAGGACATGGAAATAGTCTTCAGGGTAATTGTTTCATTTTATCTTTGTTTGGATCGTCTATTTGCTATTATTTACTTCTATTAGTAAAGGTCTGCAGAATTTGCTGCTTGCACTGGGATCACTGCAATGCTGATGGAGGCATAGGACAAAAAATTATCTGGCAGTAACTGGCCTCATGACTCCTAATTGAAGTGATTTATAATTTAGCCTGCCAAGAAGCACAATCAATTAAACACCACAGAGCAATCTTTTTTTTTCTTCTCTGTGAAGATTCTTTCTAGAAAAAATGTTAACATGATTGCTTTAATGCTTACTCTGGTGCAGAGTTTCAAGGATGTTGGTAATGCAGCATCCTGTACCTGATTCCCTGCTACACTATAGCCTGAAATGTAGGAGAACAGGAACCCCAACACGAGCACTCAAGACAGCAAGGAGAGCAGCTCTAAATACAAACACTGGCGGATGCGGGTCAGATGGGTGGCCAACCAAGAGTTACTTACCTACAGTAGTAGGTAGGACAGAAATATTAACATTTTTCCCCCCCAGTTTTTTTTTGTGAGCAGATGAGCAGTCCAGCTTCCGCAGAGCGAGCTGGAAGCTAGCGAGGTCCTTTCACCCCTCACCCCAGCGCGACTCCCTGCTGGAACAAGGACGTGCTGCTCTTAATGAGGGCCGAGGAGGTTGTACCTGCCCCTTCACTGGTACCTTCCACAAGACCCTTTAACAAGCCGTACATCCCCATTGCCCTAGTGACAGCTCCAAGGAAACAGACGCTAAGTTCTTCAAATGCAGAAGTGTCACTTTTTTTCCTTTTAATATCTCCGATTTAATCAGAGAGAGAATTTATCCAGATGCCCCAGGGCTCTAACATCGAGAGTTCGTCAGGAGTCAAAGGGCCACGGACACGTTGGATGCTGTGTAAATTTGGGCTATAAAAAAAGCTTACGGGGTCTTCCCCCATCTTCTGCAGTTGGGAGCATCACCGCTGTGAGCTATAGGCAAAACTCCCACTAACTGCACGAGAAGTTAGAACAATTCCTAACACATGAAAGTCGCTGAATTTCCTGTGTCTGTAGAAATTTATACAACCCTAGCTGGGCTATTACACATCTCTTCAACATCCAGCAACCTGAACTCTTCCTTCAGAGGCTGCTCTTCACTGCACCCAGGGTAGACTGAATTCACCCAAGCAGACTACACAGCTATCTCCTACCTGGGTTGCTCAGACAACCTAGTTGATACAAATGAAAAAGTCAAGAAATGTTGGATTAAACCCCTATACACAACATTTTTAGTGGTGCATTTATTTTATTCTCTCTTCTCTACCTCTCATGAAGGAAAGACTGATGATAAACAGGTATTTCTTAGAGTATAGACTCAAACAAGCATTCACTGCCATTCTATTAGTCTCTCTTACATCTTCTTTCTGCACTATTTCGGGCAGCCTAGAGATTCCTGGAAAGAACAGACACTGAAAGCATTTTCATTTATATTAGTGTTTGCCATAAATAGCTGGAAGGGTCTGCTTTACTGAGCATCTCTTTAGACCTTGACCATCTGGTTTCCATCACATCATCAAAAGAAACAGCCAAACTCTGCTTCAGAAGAGCTGATTTTTGTTCATTCCAGTACTGTTTTAAGTAACAGGTAGAACTCAGGTTGCCTCAACATCATCGTCAGGATGACTTAAAACACCTGATGTGATCCCAGAGCATCAGTAAGGATGGGGGGGCTGTGGGCTTCTCTCCTTATTACTCAGGGAGGAGTCATGCCCCTTAAATAGCATAAATATATTCTTGTTTCTGATTCTTCTAACCTCTGTTAGAACTGTTTTGTTTTCAGACTGTTTTTGTCAGCCAGCAGCCCCCTTAAATCTATCTTCGTGATGTCAAACATAGTATCAAGGGATTGGTAGCAGCTGACAAAATGCTAAACACAACCCAAATATAATAAATAACAAATCCAAATTAAAGGAGACACAGGATGAAAATTACTTTTTATTGATTTTTCAAGCATAAAACAAGAATTTTTGCATTTGCTTAACCAAAGTAAACGATCTCCCCTTTGGTCAGTACCAACATCATCTTTTATGGACATTTTGTATCATTATAGTGTATTGTGCCTAATCACTGCAGCATAAAAATAATTCGCTGATAGTTAAAAAGATTAAAACCAGTAAAATCTGTGAGAAATCCAATGCGTATTTTCACTCTGAATTTATTGCAGAGGACTCCCCCAGACCATAAAAGCCCTGCCTGCTCCACAGGCTTGCACCCCTTTGCGAACTGAATCCACTATATGGGTTGCAGCTTTTTGTACTTCTTACCTCTCCTATGGATCTTACTTCTAATGGCTCAAGAATCCGTTTTTCTGTGCACTCTGCTAGGAAGTCTGGTATACATTCAAACGCGTCTTGTTCGTTTTACAATTACTGATATTAGAATAATCTTTAAATGCTGAGATTAAGTTATAAAACCCTCATTTGTTCCACTGTTTATAGGAAATTCGGCTGTGCCCGTTCCACTCCTGGGAGCCAGTTTAGTTCTGCTTAATGCATCGCTTTGCAGCACCACTCTCCATCTTCCATTACATGTTGGAACGAGTCAGCCAGGGAAATTCCTAGAAGCAAAAAACAAAACAAAACACAACGGGCAAACAAAGAAAATCAGAACAGAGAATAGGAAAATGGGGTACAAATATGCACTAACTACGAGATGGAATCTGCAGGAAATGGAAGACTGCTCATAAAAATGTTCTTTGTCTTATTTGGTCTGTCGACTGTCTGTTTGAAAAGAACAACTGTCAGCTCTGATAACAGCAATTAAAGAGCCATGCATTAGTAAGGGTCAATCAAAACATAAACAAACCAAAAAAAAAGCACGTGGGGTAGTGTGAATGACCCAGCTCCCCTATCTCCCTCTATCTGCAGGGAATTTTCTGCCTTACAACCATCTCTGACTTCTCAGCAGTTTCAGGGATGCTCCGTGAGGATTTGTCAGGCTTTGCTACGGGAAGCTTGTGGAAGAAGAAAGGGCGGCAGCCACACACCTGCTTCTTCCTCTCGGAGCGCGGGTCAATCAGGACGTTTATGAGGGCAGGCGTGTGCCCGTCGGCCACGCTTGCCTTCAGCGCGTCCTGCAGCTCCTCTGGCCTTGTCACAAAGTACCCCTTCCCTCCAAAGGCAGACATAATTCGCTCATAGTGCGCGTTTGGCAGGAGAGAAACAGGAGGTGCACTGTAACAAAATGGAGAGCTCTGATTAATGGCATTGAAGAACTGCCAGGATCACCAATTCCAATTATTTCAGCACTGATTTTAAGGCAGGAGATGATTCTAGTGCTGGCCTGATGGAGTCTTCTGGGCTGGCGAAACTGTGTTTCCTACACAGCTTACACTAGGTTACTGAATTACAGCATTACTGACGTTCATGTTCTGGAGACCCTCCTGAGCAGGCCTTTAACTGAGCTCTCTTCATACAGGGATGAAGCAGAAGCCCATCATAAAACCACGACATAAGCTCAAAATGTCAGGTAGTTTTTGAGGTTATCATCATTCTGGAGCTTTGCTCACTGAGTACTCTGAACTATGGGGCCCGCTGTGCTTCAGGAATCTGAAACGACTCATGGAATCATCTCTATGCTACACTGTTGTATAAACAGTAACCTGTAAATAGTGCAGTTGCTTTGGATTTATACTATGTATTTAGATTAACTTGTTTTAGAATTAAATTCACTTTGTGACAAATTTTCATCTGGATCAGGAAACATTAACAGTACATGGAATGATCGATTTGGTTACCTCTTCCTTAATTAACAGGACACACTTTGAAGACACTCACCATGTAGCAGGATCTCCAGACTTTAACATCTCCTTCCAGGCATCTGTATCCAAACCAGTGTAAATCCCATTATTATTCACTACAATAATCAGGATTGGTAAATTGTATCTTTAAAAAAAAAAAAAAAAAAAAGGAAGATTATTAAAACACTTGCACCTGCCTGCAAGTGTTCAAGTGTTACTTCTCATTAAAAATACAATAAAGCCAATTCTGCATGAAATATGATCTATTTGCCACTGACAATACATTATGTCACAACAGTAGGTAGAGAAAAAATCACAGGATGGCCGAAATGGGAAGGAACCTTTGGATCGTCTTCGAGGAAGGAGACTCCACAACATCTCCGGGTAACTTTTTCTGGTGCTCACAGTTACCCCCAAGGTTTTCCTTAGACTGAGGTGGAACCTTGCTAGGTTTCAGTCTGTGACCACTGTCTCTGTCCTGTCACTGGGCTCCTGAGCTTTCTGCTCCGCAGGCTGGACAGTCCCAACCCTCCCAGCTTTTTCTCATACGAGAGAAGCTCCAGTCCCCTTTGCTCAATTTCCTGCTCTTTGGGTCGGACTGTCCTGGAGCTTGGAGGAAACAAGCCTTGAATATCAACCCAGCTACATGTAAATGACTATGACTATGTGCAAAATGACTACGTGGATGCTCTGGCTTGTTTTCCATGAGCTCAGGAATACCATGTCTCCTTAGCCTTCTAGTTAATTTTATTATGGCAATACACGAAGAGGGTTTTCTTGGAAAAAAGCAGCTACCTGCAAATAGTTTCCAATTCCATGCCAGAAAATCCGAAAGCACTGTCTCCTTCTATGCAGATCACTCGTTTTTCAGGTGTTCTGTCTTTAGCCACCATTGCAGCAGCTATAGCAAAACCCAGCCCGACTCCCATCGTGCCAAATGTACCTGCATCAAGTCTGGAGGAGAAAAAAAACACAATATCTCTATCCCTTTAAGCACAGAAATTCATACAGTTCCATTAATCCACGATTACTTATCTTTAAGAATTTATCATATACAAATACTGTTTCATAGAAAACTGGTATAGAGAGGTACCAAGTATTCATATTATTATAGTTTTTACTGCTTACCTGTAAAGGCTGCTTTTTCAGTCAAACATTAGATTAATATTGCAAATGTTTTAACAGAGATGCACATACTTGAACTCTAATTAAAATAAAGTAGCTATTAGCAGGAATTCTTACACACTACTAGTACTACAACAAAGAAAGAAGCATTTTTGTGTGCTTTTAGCTTGCATAGTAGCAGTATTTCAACCACATTCAATTACTGTAGAGATAGGCAGACTACATGAAATCTTTCTGTATTTAATTCTCTGAAAATTTAACTAGAAGTCTGAAAGCCATCAGCTAAATTATGCTATTCAAACTCTAGTCTTCTGTTCAACTTTTGAAAATCAAATTGCAAGATGTAATTAAGTTAGATCTTTTCAGTCAGAAGCACATAATGGATACAAAAGTACATAAAGAACCAGATTATTCTAGGGTTAACTTTTCAAATTCGCTTTCACATATACACAAGATTATCTGAAAAGACAACCATTAATATCACTTTGTCCTTATTTAAGAGATGAGCAAACTCTTCCCTAAACTTCAGTGAAAGTATGTTTTACTCTTTCTTCACACAAAAAAGTTTATTTTTGACAGTGTTACTTTAAGATTTAAGACTGTAAGATTTATAATCAGACCAGAGGTTTCACAGAAACCTCAGCAGAAAGAACTCACTTTTTGCCCCCACTCAAGAAACAGCACTTAACTCCTACTCTTAATCATTCTGTGTGGCCTAGCTTTGAGACACACACCAGCATTTCCAAATTCGGGCTCCTACATTCCAGGCAAGTTTACATGAAAGTCTCAAAACAAAATCTAGTTTTCAAAATCGTTGATTCATCTCGAGTTCTCCCTATACGCGTGCAACATATCAAAGAAAAGATTTCACCTCACAATAGGACTCCAAACTATTTTTTTTTAAGATGCATTTACCATTCATTTTGAGCACAGATAAAAACAACCACATTAGGGAATTCAATATAATACTGGACAGGACACTTGTAGAGAGGGTCCCCTGACTTAAGCCTTCCCTCTACTAAAGCCCAAGAACATATTGAACAAATATTTAGAATCCTTCAAAAAGAACTACAAATCACCTAGACCATGCTACTTCTTGGCTATGTGAAAACATTCTCTATATAAACCTAGCCCACTGGGTGAGCACACGAGAGAGAATCCCTCACCTTTGACGAGGCTGGTAGTTTGGGAGCGCAGTGCGGCCAATGTCCATGGTGTTTGCTCCCTCGCTCACCAAAATGCAGTCCCTGGGTATCAGATCTCTGATGTGACGGAAGACCGTGTAATAGTTCATAGGCAGGGATTTTTGTAATTCCAGTCCCTTAAGAGTAAGGGATATTAATAACTCCTAAGCACATAATAAGATATAGAATCGAGAAGTACAAATAATACTGTGGAAATAAAAATGTTCTAAGACTGAAAAATATCTGCCTCCCATGCACTACTTTGATGCTTGAAGCCAACAAAGTCACTCTTACTGCACCTATGTATTTTGATGACACAAGGTATTTATCAGAGGCTTGCTCACATCAGCTTTCAGCTCCCTCAGCTTCCTCATTATCAACAGGAATTTACTATTAACTCAGTTAATCCGAGATGGACATGAATCTATACACACTGATTTGACTGTTAATAATTGTGAGTTGTCACTTAGATGTTGGGAGGTAATTCAGAAAAGGTTGTCTCCTTAGAAATACCTATTTTAGATCCTAGTCTTGCAAATAGGCACCTGAACTTGCAGAATATAGTTAACTTATTTATAAAAATCAAGTATATACTACCTGTGCGTTGGATTTTAGCCTTAACAGCTACTTGCTTTTAATACAGATTACATTTCACCAGCTTTGCTAAACTGTTGCACTGAAATCTGCACAACTACAGAAGAAAACATCTTCATGCAAGCTAGCTTCCACCCAGACCACCTACCCACTGCGTACAAGCCATGCTCACAACACAGCAGCTCTAGATGTGGTCTGCTACTAGTTCTATGAACACAATTCCACAGCCCAGGGAACTCCACACTGTACGCATTTTAACAAAACACAAAATACAGACACAATTTATAGTTTTCTACACCAGAACGGTAGAGAATTTCAAAGTCTGGGTGAGATGAAGGTCCTAATTGAGGAGTCTGGACACAGATCAGACCTAAAGCTAACTAAACATTAGTACTGTTAAGGAAAGAAACCTCCTCTTGTTTCTTTAGTACAATACTACCTTTGATTTTTCTTCATTGCTCATTATTTTCTCTCTTAGCTTCTTCCACCACTGTGAACTGGATGGATACTTCCATCGTCTTTTGCTGAATTCTTCTAAAAGCTAGAAAACATTAAAATATTGTATGTTTCTTTCAACATATCCAAAAATATCAAGAGCATCAAGAATAACGTTATCAAGAAAATCCCAGCGCAATCCAGTTAACAGAGAATAGGACCTTTAACATTAACTCTGGGACTAGACTGGATGCACAGCATGATTATGTTGCCTGAGAAAAGGCTTCCCTTTAAGATTTAAGTTGGTGACTTCCTTTATGTAAGTCAAAGAAACCAAAGTCAAACAAGAGGACACCTGACATTACCTGTTTAGTCACGGTGTTTATGTCACCTAATAAACTTGCAGCTGGCCTCACATTATTCCCCAGCTCTTCTGCACAAATATCAATCTATATTAAAAAAGAAAAAGGCACAATTCAAAGATATTAAGAGATTTCAGTTCAAGTAGTTACAAAGACAGACATTTTCTAACAATGCCTTTATGCTTTGTAAAGCCGTAAAGATAACTGTTTCTAACTGAAGTACCATCAAGAAAAGCTTTTTAAGCTAAAAAGCTTTTTATTTAAAATAAAGATACATATCTTTAATATTAAAGTTAATAAATATCCTTATAACCTACTGTCTGCTTCCTTCATGCTGTTACACACTGTGTAGAGCTTTAGTAGAACAGGAACAAGAAAGCAGCGAGTTTTAGCAGCATTTGTACAAGAACTAGAACTCTAGTATCTGAGAGTCTTTGCACAATAGTAATTTTCTCATCAAGAACAGTTTGTGAATGCTACTTGATCGTAAAAACTTGGCTTATAAGAAAAAAATGGAAAGCAAATGGTGAACACTGAGGGAACTTTCCAATTTTCCTTATCAATAACTTGAGACCCCTAAGGTTAGGTGACATACTAATTTATCATCATGTTTCACAGACTATGAACTGAATTAGTATTTTAATAGTAACCTATGATAGATAATTAGTATTAAACAAGAGGAATTCTAGTTGAAAAACTATATTATTCTTCTGGAATATATGTGGAAACTTGGAAGCTGTGACTAAGTTCACCAAAAGCAGGCCAGTTAACACAGTCAATCAACTGCTGCTCCTGGATCATAAGCTCTGAAGGCAAAATTTTAAGGACAATCAATTTAACAATTTGTCCTTCTAAGAGCTGGCAGATTGCCAAATACACTAATTAGTTAAATAGACTTTCTTCTTCTCTTCCCATTAATATTTCTAAGAGACTGGGTTTTCTGAATGACTGAAGCGGGATCAGAAGGTTGTTTTATTTCAAGAAGTCCAGCTGGGTGAGCAGAAAAACAGGCTCTTGCAACTGCAGGAAAATTTGATCAACAGAACTCCATATATCACAAATCTAACGTTGTTTCAGCTAACTACACAGAATGTCTGTCCTCCTCATTACAGCAGCACTACGTCCTTGAGAGCTAGAACAATTCTGTAAATATTTTCAGAAAATGCAAAGTAAAACACAAGAAAAAAACTCAAAATAATTTCCTCAGAACTACTGTACCTATATGCATGGTATTGCACTGTCCAAATGCATGTACAACTTCTCCTGAAGTCGATTACTAAAATATTTAACAATAATTAGTCTAGGTGATGCTAAAACAGAGCATTTCCTTCACTGGGCAGTGGTTTTCCTACTTGCCTGAATAACCTTTACATCTTGTCGAAACCTTGGTGGAAGGCCAAAGTGCAAAATCCAGTTCAGCCTGGCACCAAGTAATATGATTACATCAGCATGCTGTAATGCCCTAATAAAAGGAAATGAGAGAATCAGATGAGGAGAAAATACTGTTAAATTTAAAAGTTTTCAAAAGTAGAAGTAATCCTAATTGTCACAGCAAACCCACGAAAAACATGCAAGTAATTCTTCCATCCTCTGAGCTGTTTGCCTAGCTAGCTTTAAGAACCCAAATTCTTTTGCATCAGTCATTCATCAAGGCCATTCTTGAATTTTGGAAATTAAGAATGTATTACTCTTTTACCAATGCACTGAGTTTTGGACAGGACTCATTACACTAGAAGAATAACCAGATGCTATAAAGGTAATGACGTCAATAGGCAATAGAGAGTGTCAAAATTAAAGATCGCCTTGGACCTCTCAGTTTAGCTCTTGTTAATTTGCCTTTCAGCTGAGTCCACAATATTTGGTATATTCTTTCATTCTTCATTTCTTCTAAACACCAGGCTTAGCAAGGTAAAGCTATGATACTCAACTGTGATCAAATGTTTTAACCTCAAAGGATACAAACGTCCACCAGTGACTCCATGCCTACTCATAACCATGGCAGCCCTTAAGGTTCATTCGTATCAATTTTCCCACAGCCAGAAAAAGGCTCTTATAAATGTGTCTTGTCTAATGCATTAAGTTAAATATTTAATGTAAACTGCTTACCAGTTTCATTTTATGTTACGAAACACAAAATAACATTGTCGGTCCATCTACTTGCCACAGGTGTCTTAGTTATAGAAATTAGCACTCAGACAAAACATCTTCCTGACCCGTATTCTAAGCAATATCAGAAGCAATCTACCTATAGTTGTTGCATCTTTCTACACAACATCTTCAGGGCTCTAAAATAAGGGGAAAAATGTAGCTGAAAAGACTTTGATGTATGTGTTTTATCTTTCCTAGTATTTGGAAAACACCACAATCCCTGGTTATTTCCCAGACGGTAGGAGATTAGAAGCCTCGCTTCGCATTTACGTGGATCTTGCTGCAGCCACACAGTTGGGATGGTTATCAGGTACCACTCCTTTTCCCATGGGTGTAGGCAAGAAAGGCAGCCCGCAGAGGTCCACCAGCTTTCTGACGTTGTTCTCAGCACGTGAATAAGCAGCACCTGAGTGGAAAAAAAGCGACTACTTAATACTAACTCAAGCTGTGATCTTTCTGTAGTTCATTTTTCAACAGGCACTTAAATATTTGACTAACTTCAGTATGTGGACGGTCTCAGTGACTTTAAAGCACACATATACAAGTGTGGCTAAAAGCATTACTGGACTAAGGCCTAGAATAAGAGAAAAATGTGATCCCAGAAATGTACTGCACTCACCTAAAATTTCAATTAGTCATTACATTACTGGCAGAGAGAGAACTACTTCCTGTTATGAAGACTGCCTGCCATCCTTCATTCTGGAGAACTCAAAATATAACCAAACATTAAATATTTGAGTTCAAATCTCCCAAATTTTTGATGGAAGGCATTTCAAAACTTCAGCTGAAAATATCTAGCCATTTCTAAGAGGCAGGGTAGGGAAAAATACAGTTTTGTTGATCTTAACTGACAGATTTTTTTCAGTGAAATTCTGTGTTCTGGAGTAGAGACTTCTCTAGTAGAAGGGATCGTGTGCTTTCTTGCTTGCCCTGCGTATGACATCGCGTCACATGCTCCACCTACCCAGATTGGTCTAATTATGAGTTTTTGTTGAAGAAAAAATGTTTCAGATAGAAGCTGGTGAAGATAGTTTTTCCTTCCACTTATTCACAGTCAGACAGGTCTTTAGGAGAATGGCCCAACTGAAATTGTTTATTGTAATTCGGTTAGTAATGAACCTAATTGCAACAGAAAAGGTGTAGTAACTGCCATTCTTCAAGAAAGAAAAATAAATAAATAAATAAAGAGGACCACACAGAGGAACTTTCAGCTTTAGGGACACCTCCACTGACAGAATGCAATCTCAAGTTTGTAACAGCATCAACTGATGCTGTGTGGTTTCACGTCCTCCCCCATTAGTAGTCTGGCACTTTTAGCAAATCCATATGGCAAAGTGACATTTGATTAGATTCTTGCTATAAATGCCAGACAGCATTAGACAGATATAAGAGAGAGAATATCCCTTCCGTATTTTGAAATAATTTGTTTGGAATTTTGGAAGTGATCTGTGCGAACCAACTCTACACGAGACACAGGCTATCTAATTTTTTCTATTAACACATTCGATTAATGAATTTTTCTCTTAGTTTAGATAGACTATTCTTATCGTCTTGCAAAAATGTTGCTTTTCTGCAAGCAGAAGACTTAACACCAAGCTTCAAAGAAGCTTTTATATAGAAGGTGAAAAGGAAACAACTAAGGCTTATGGGGAAAGGAACCACTTTGGCCATTGTCCTTGTCCCACCTCTGTACAGTTCCAAGCTGCATCAAGGCAAGCTACCTTTGCCAACGATTAAGAGAGGCTGCTCAGCCTGAGCAACGACAGACACTGCTTCAGAGATGGTGGATTGCTCGGCCATGCTGAGGGGAGGAGGCAGGCAGCATTCGACGTACCTGCAACTCAAGGAAAACAAAAGGGGCTTTTTTAGAAAGGTGCAATGCAAAGCAAGAACCATCAAAAGCTAAATTCTGTCTGTTAGAATAAAGCCACACAGTTGTTGCACACAGTGTTACAGCATTTATCAGAATCATAGAATCGTTCAGGTTGGAAGGGACCTCTAGAGATCATCTAGTTCAACCCCCCTGCACACTCAGGGTCACCTAGAGCATGTGGCACAGGATTGTGTCCAACAAGGGATATTTTGTAAAATAGACCTTGACGTTATCTTGTGTGCCAATCTAATATTAGGTCTATCTCAGAAATTAGAGTGGAATCATTGTATTAGCATCACAGTGTTTTGTTTTTGCACATTTCATTACAAAATATAACCTACATTACATGATGGAAAGTTTTATCTAGAGGCTGGATTTCAAGTACCATCACTTCAGTCTTATGACAGATAATTTAATCTCTTGTTCTTGCTTTACAGTGAAAGAAAATTTAGAACTTAAAACTAAAGTTTCTTTTATTGAACAAATTGAAAAATAATGGATATAACCAGCACGCACTTGACAGAGCTCTTATCCACCTGAAGATTTACAAAATCCCCAGGTATGTCAATGTAGCAGGAACCTGGGCGACCATATATGCTGGTCCTTACGGCCTAGAAAATAAATGATCACAGTTTTAAACATCATTTGGAAAGATTTAAAGAAAATGTTTATACTTAAAAGACAACAAAGAAAATCCTTCAGTAGTTGGGAAATGAATACACTGCTTTATCTTGCTAATCCATCACCAGGAAAGCTCTCATAGATTGATTTATACCAATATATTTAAGCTTTGATAGCCATTTACATTTCCCCTCTATGCCTGTTGAAGCATTCCCGTAGATGCACAGTATTAGACCGTAAATTCAGAATCTGCTTCTGACCTTCCATAACACAACTTGCAGGAAAAACCTTGCTTACTGCTAGAGAGATTTGCTCAATCAGCTATAACCTACTGACTAGTTAACTAGTTTGCAGGATCAAACTAGTTACAGTAACAGCTATTTGGAACACCCCCTCACACACACACACGCAGACTGCTACTTGGTGTTTTC